CAAATTATAGGAGACTTAGATATAATATACCCTAGGAGATATATAAAATTACTGGGCATATTACTATAGTCCTGAACTGAACACGAGCAATGTTGCTTGTGAACATGATCAAACGATAGGAGACTTATATATATATTATAGCTTAGAACCTACAAAAAAAGTTACTGAGCTTAATAATATGATCTTAAACTGAACACAAGCGATATTGCTTGTGAACACGATCAGACGATAGGAGACTTAAATATATTATACCCTATAATAAAGAAAACATTACTAAGCATATTACTATAGTCTTAAACTGAACACAAGCAATTTCTGCTTGTGAACACGATCAAACGATAGGAGACTTAAATATATTATACCCTAGAAGCAGAGCTGGGCAGCGCTACTTTGAAATGTAGCGCCGCTACCGCTACCGCTACATGCTCTAAATGTAGCGGGCGCTACCGCTGCCGCTACACCCACTAGATTGTAGCGGGCGCTACCGCTACCGCTACAGTAAAATGTAGCGCCGCTACATTAGCCCTACAATGGCCAAAATTATAGGAAATCTCTAAATATTTATTGTTCTGCTATTGGGATTTACTCGTAAACATTTAATGATAATAAAACATTTTCAAAACATATCAATGCAACTTTATTGCAATTAACCTAACCGAAATAGTACGGGTTAGATACAGTAAATAAAAGCTATTTTTATGTTTTACCTTCCCTACATGGATGTCTACTTTAATCTACCAATGTCAAAAATTATCCACATATACATATAAAAATCAAGTCTTTTATTTGTATATATACGTTTGGCAGATCAAAGTAGATATTCACGTAGGGAAGGTGAAACATAAAAATAACTGTGTAAAAATAACTGTAAGCAAACTTAAGTTAGGTGGCTGATGTCCGTGATGTGGTCGTGGACATGTGGTGGCAGCTGGCATTGAACAGGAACAAGTGGTAACGGGTAACAACTTAACAAGTAACAACTAACATTTTGACACTAGTAACAGGCTAAGGTTGACAACATTACACCGAAATCTTTTGTACAGTTTTATTCTGTAATTTATATTATGTAAGTATCATGCTGGTTTTTAAATAATATTTAATAATAAAAAATAATAAGTAAAATCTAAAGGCTTTATCTATAAATGTAGTGGTAGCGCTGTAGCGGCAAAACCTCGTATCGCTACTTAAATATGTAGCGGGCGCTACCGCTACAATTGCTTAAATGTAGCGCCACTACCGCTACCGCTACTGAAAATGTAGCAGCCGCTAGTAGCGGCCGCTACATGTAGCGCGCTAACGCCCACCTCTGTAAGTACATAATACACGTAAATATGATACAACACGAAATTTTGAACCGTGAAAATAACTCCGAAAAAAAATCTCAAAATTCAGAAAATTCGGTTGTTGGAATATGGATAGCTGGAGTCCAATGCGTAGATATAGGAACTTCTGTAGGTATCGTCGGTCGGATGATGTCGGCCCAATACAAGATGCCGATGCTTTTGGATTCCTCCATCACAGTACAAGTGACAGTCTCGTGTTTGACGTTATCAAGGGCGTCACTGAGCCTATTGCATTCATCGCGGATCTTGAGATGAAGTTGCCCAATTGTAATACTTTGAGACTTCCCGTTGTAGCTTCAACAGTCAGCAGAACTCCGTAGCGTGCCTCCTCAGTTTCGTCTTAATCGTCAAATCTCGAATGACGATTCAGTTAACCTGGAGCTGTCGTCGGCGCACCAGTTGAGCGGTGTTCACTCTGAGGAAGAAGGAAAATTCACTTGAAAGTGAACCTGTGTTCTTGCCTATCGTCTAGTTTACAGTGGCAGTCTTTGTTGATCGAATTTCATGTCAACATCAAGATGTTAGAACACAACCATGCAGGTGAAAAAGTGAACGAGCAGTTCTAGAAAGTAAATCATAAACTCTTGAGCAGCAGGCAGAATCCCGGAGTTGATGGGGAATTCCTACGAAGTTACCGTACGCGCGCGTCAGGCGTGTAGGTACTATGACACTCATCTTGCAAAATTATTTTAATTTAACGTTCAGCAGTTTTATAGATCATCTTGATGATGATACATTCATATTTTTTCTACTCAAAATGTCAAGCATATATTCATATTTTAATTTTTTCGCCACATTTAAGTGCCCGAAATTTGAACATGTACAATTCTAGGAAGATTTGGGCTGACATGTTTTGCGTTGTTGAGATACTATGGAGATACAGTATCCGCTCAGAGGCTCCATCCTGGGCTTGTAAGAAACCTACTCCTGCCTCAGCCTTTGATAGTCTCACATTTGAAATACATCGGGATTCCAATGATCACGCTTAGAAAATAAAAGCAATTACTTAATTTTCCCAATTGCATTACCGGTTAAAAAGTTTGTTACCATTTTCAATGAAAAGTGCAGAAACTCGGAACTTTATTATTAGGCTTGGCATAATGGAACCTTACGGCAATTATATTCTAGGTGAGCCGTGACGAGGAACACAAGACTGCAGCCTCGCGCGCTGACCTTGGTTGCCAGCTGCATGCCAGCGATAGCGAACAACCTCGTACTGCCGTACTGCAACCACTTCATTGTAATATTCTCTTAAAATATCATTAAAAGCTTAAAAGAGAACTTTTTATTTATTTTCGATCAGTTTATTCTCACCAATTGAAAGTCATTTGATTGGAAATATTTATAGAAGGAAGGCCATTCGTGCGATTCAGCGGCGACAGCTTTGGGATGAAGTCGCTTGCAGGCAATAACGCCAGTCATTCGAGTATCCGCAGTCGCAAGAAAAAAATCTCGCAGGAATAGCAATTTTTTGGTTTTCCAACGTTTTCATATATCGGGTTTTAGCTGGAGTAGAGTGGACCGTCGTCTGAGAGTAGGAAGTGTGATTGTAAACTATTTTAATTGTATTCATTCTTGAGTAGCCGTAACGGATTATCGCTGCATTCCCCCTGAAGTGATACGCGGATGACAATATTGGTACTATAGCCCAGGGGTATGCTAAGAGGTACAAAGGAAACGCAGGCAGTCCGCATCGAGCTGACCTCGCTTTTTGTGCTGTCTTCTCGGCTTTGTCAGCTCAACTCCCGGGATTGATGTTTTGCTATTTCCATACAATGGACGGTCTCTGTGACTACTTAAACAACGTCTGCACACTCCATTTTCTGTTGCAGGAAATGAGTTGAGATAACGCATAATTACCCATCTATGATGACAGCAATATGAAATGCTCTATATTGCCGGATATACTTTACAAGACGGTGACCCACTCGAGCCACGCGGTCACGGATGAGTTTAACTGTGCTACATACTTTTGCGTGAGAATATATACATATATGTGTGAGAAGTGTATCAGACCTGGCCCACTAGTTGTATAAATGAGAAATTGATTTTTTACTGTTAGCGCCATAACTCAGTTGTACCTATGAGAAGTGTGCACTGCACTGCTTGCCACATTACTTATTACTTGGTTGTGATGATGAAAAAGTGTGCACTGCTTGCCCCATTACTGGTTTGTACTGATACGAAGTGTGCTTTGTTTGCGCTATCATCATATCACGTTATATTCGTCCTTATTGCGAACGTTCAGCTGACGTCGCGCTGTAACTGGCTCTTAGTTTCTGTTTCTCTACTTACTTTTCTCTTAAAGCTCCGTAACGACTACGCACGTCTGTGCTCTCGAGTGCTTTTAATAAAAAAAAGAAGCGCCACAACATTCGTCATCTAAATCTACAATAATAAGAATTCGACGCTCCACAGTCATGTCCTTGACGGCACTGTTGTTGAAGTTACATGGAGAAACGTCACGTTGTACGGAGCAGCGGAGCGTTCGCTGCACCGCTCTATCTGCCGAGCCGCGGCTTCCGGTGGAAAATCCTGGCCTATAGATGTTACTTGACATCCAGCATCTGGCAGCTAAGAGTGCTAGATAAAAAGTGTTGCTGCACCGGTGATGAGTGCCCTCCTGCATCTAACAGCAAAGTGTGTTTGACGAGTACTTTTGTGTTACCTTCTTATCTTACACTTATTCTTTCTAAAACAAGTTATGCAGTCAATGTGTAATGTGTCTTCCGGCATTTGACATACGAATTTCTAAGATGAGATGTATTGCTGCCATTGCGACCTGTGTCGCCCATCATCCCGCCATCAGGTGTGTTATTAGACGGGAAGTGATGCAGCGATTGTGGTGTGTACCCTAATGCTTCTGGCAGTCGAGTGTGTTATGAGATGTCGCGTTGCGTGTCTTATGTGTCGTCCATCGAGACAGACTGTGTCAATGTATCACGTTAGCGAGTCAAATCCTACGATTCATAAAAAATTCGTCAAAATTTGCGTTAAAATATTTGAATTTATAGCAGTGCATGGTAATACGGTGTTCATCAAACAATGCACCTGCAAGTAACATCAACACCGTCAATCCTAGATGCAGAATCAATGAAGTAGTTGTTTGTTGCTGTCGTGCGCCCGAACCTTGAGTTTGGAAACGCCGTGTGGTCACCGAGACTTGAAGATGACAAAAATTTAGTAGAGAGTGTTCAAAGACGTGCAACAAGAATAATTCCAAGCTTGAAGGGCAAGTCTTTTGAAGAAATATTAAAGATTATGAAGCTTCCAAGCCTCAGTTATCGACTTCTGCGTGGGGACATCATTGAAGTATACAAGTATAATCATGGTTTATGCAAGGTCCAGAAGGATTACTAGAATTTGAAACAAGAACCAATACCATGGGACAACAGCTTTAAACTAAAAAAACTGCTTCGCAACTCATCCACGCGACAACATTTCTTCTCGCTTCGAATCACCGACATGTGGAACAGCCTCCCCGATGACATCGTTGACGTTTCGAGTATAAACGCGTTCAAGAACAGACTAGATAAAGCTATGCAAAATATATGTACAGACTTGAAATGCCTAGGACCATATCGAACCCGGTGTAAGTTCTTTGCATGATATTTGCTGTCATTTTTTTCCTAACCATTTTTATTACCCTCAGAATTTCAGAAACCAAATAAGAAAAGTCTCTTGAGAGAAATTAGTTCGTTACTTATAATTAGGCTCCTTTATTAGACCAGCATGGCGGCTTGGCAAGTTATGTTGGTTGTGACGCTGTTCAGCGCTCAGACGCGGGCACAGTTCGACTTGTGCTTTACTGACAGCGCCGCTGCCGGCGTGCCAAGCAACGAGTTCAACTTCACAGGTGAGTGACGGTAGAAAGTACTTCACCCTGAGTGAAGTGGGTGTGCAAATGTTTGGATTGGAGGCGCTACACAGGTGAGTTAAATGGGTGCATGGAAGTGCAAATGTTTGGATTGGAGGCGCTGCACGGGTGAGTGAAGTGGGTGCGTGTGTGTGCAAATGTTTGAAGGCGCAAGCGCAACATACTTGATTAATCTGATGTAATGGTGGAATAGACGTCTGTATAAGTCAAGTTTTTAAGTGTATATTAGTATGGGAATTGAGATTACATATACACAAATACAAGCGGGATTAAATATACGTCAGTCTTGCAAGGGAATTCAGTTTTGCATTGTTGCAGCAAGTAAATTGGAATATGTGTACCTAGTCAATTAAGAGTTTTCAGATAAAATTAGTACTGAAAGTACTAATTACGGATGTTACGCCTTATACGTACGGATGTTATAAGGCTTGTTCGTTTAGCTTTGGACGTATGTCGGTTGAATTAAATAGAGATAAGTTCGGCTTATGAGTGCGATACTGCAACTCAGGAGTGGATAACTTCGGGCTGGGCTTGATCCGGGAGCTGAACGAGCACCTGACGGCGACGCAGAAGGCTGGGGACGTCAACCTGCTGGTGTCGCCCTACAGCGTGTGGAGCGCCCTCAGCCTCGCGTTGATGGGCGCCCAGGGCACGACGCTTAAGCAGCTCCAGGACGCCCTCGGGCTTCCCAACACCAAGCTCGGTGCATACAGGACTAAATACGCTCTGGACTTTGTGTGAGTCCTCGTTATTTGATGACTGGCTGTATTATCTACTGTATATATGGTCTGTTATATGACATTATTATCTACTATTGACGCGTAATGGGCTGTCTAATGTCTTCACCCCGGCAGTCTGCGCGCACTGGGTTCAGGGGCCAACGGGAGCCCCGAGCTGCGCCGCGTCGACCGCGCCTACTTTGACCCCAGCGTCAACCTGCGCCCCTGCGTCTCTGACGTCATCCACGACGTTCAGACCCTCAACATGCTGGCCGACCCAGGTGAGGCTTCTTTTCAGATAAAACATAGAACTGCATCATGATTGTACGTCATGGTAACACGCTACTAGAACTGCATTCTGATTGTACGTTATGGTATCACGCCTGTCTCTTATACACATCTAGATGTGTATAAGAGACAGCGCCTGCGTGTCTCACCATGCCTCCTCTCTTTGCACCGCCACGCCTGCGTGTCTCACCATGCCTCCTCTCTTTGCACCGCCGTATAAGTCTCGTCTTCCGTCACCAGAAGCCTGATCTGGACCAGACGCTGGCGAAGCTTTCGCCGTACACGCTGGGGCAGGCCCTGGCTGCCATGAAGCCGCTTCAAGTCAATGTCTCAATTCCCAAGTTCGACCTTGAGGTCAAACTAGAAGATGAACTAGTGCAAGTGAGTGTTTCGAGACAGACATTGAACATTTGGTCATGCCTGTTATTTTTCGCGACTGATTGAGGAACGGCATGAATTGGTGTAAATCATTATTTTAAAACCGAGGTGCAGCCTGAAGTGGAGGTCATCATTATAATAGCCAGATTTCCCATTCAATGAGAGTAATAGATGCAAAGGAACACATAAAAGCCCGCCTGCTACACCACCGGCGCCAATGTTCAGTGTTCAATATAATACGACAGGGTTTAAAATGAGCTCGCGATTAACTTGAACGAAAAGGATTTAATTATTTTCTCAAGCACTTCTGGTGGAATAAATAGCATGTTACAATATTTATCTATATCACTACATGAATAATTTTCCTGTGGAGGAAGAACATGAGCTATTTCGTGATCCTTCCTCCACTGGATACTGTAAGCTTCAGGCCAAGGACCAATTATGTTTCCCTAGCACTAACGTACAAAGGTTTGTTTAGGTAAATTTGTGTTGATTACTCCTCACAAACATCGCTAGCGAAAATAATGCCATGAATGAGCTGTTGACGAACTCGTCAAGCATCTCCCCCTCTTTATTGTTAGCAAAAAGTGAGTTACCTTGCAACCTGATTGGAATAAAACCGTTACGCGACTTGGAAGACGAAACGTGAATGGACTTTCTCCATGCTTGCGCTGAGCAGAGCCTGAAGCAGCTGGGCATCACGGACATGTTCGACCGCACGCGCTCCAACTTCTCCAGCTTCACCGCAGACTCTGGGCCTCTCTTCGTGGATGAAGCCATCCACAAGGTGTGTTACTGATGCTGCCATCCACAAGGTGTGTTACTGATGCTGCCATCCACAAGGTGTGTTGAACTGCATTCTGATTGTACGTTATGGTATCACGCTACTGGAACTGCATTCTGATTGTACGTTATGGTATCACGCTACTAGAACTGTATTCTGATTGTACGTTATGATATCACGCTACTAGAACTGTATTCTGATTATACGTAATGGTAACACGCTACTAGAACTGTATTCTGATATTGTACGTTATGGTATCACGCTACTAGAACTGTATTTTGATATTGTACGTTATGGTAACACGCTACTAGAACTGTATTCTGATATTGTACGTTATGGTATCACGCTACTAGAACTGTATTTTGATATTGTACGTTATGGTATCACGCTACTAGAACTGTATTTTGATTGTACGGTGTGGTATCACGCTACTGGAACTGCATTCTGATTGTACGTAATGGTATCACGCTACTGGAACTGCATTCTGATTGTACGTTATGGTATCACGCTACTAGAACTGTATTCTGATTGTACGTAATGGTATCACGCCACTAGAACTGTATTCTGATTATACGTTATGGTATCACGCTACTAGAACTGCATTATGATTGTACGTTATGGTATCACGCCACTAGAACTGTATTCTGGTTGTACGTTATAGTATCACGCTACTAGAACTGTATTCTGATTGTACGTTATGGTATATATCATGCTATATCATCACTCTCCACTGCTATTGCTTCGTCGAGAGCTAACTACTCTCGACGATGACTGCTTTGAACGGAGCGGTTTCTGCCTTATTGGTAACAGAAGAGAATTTGTTTCATGATTTTGTGCTTCTACTGTCGCAAATTTTTTATAAAAATGCGATTACAGCAGCTCCAAATTGCGTATATGTTTCAAGTTAAAATGCAAACGCTGCAATGCTTGTTGGCCTCAGCAGCTATTGTGTATAGCTTATTAAGAGTTTGAGCTTTAACATATCTTTCACAGTTGATTTCAGACTTTTAATGTTATTGTTTCCGTCTTGTTTTAATTCTTTTTCATGTTTCTAATCATTGATCTCCGAATAATTCTGAAGCTCCCGACGTTTATGCAGCGAATACACTATACATATTTGCCTCCTAATCGCTTTGGCGACAACAGGCTCCCAATAATCAGCCTACCTGATTACAATGAAAAGTTACACGAGCAACAAGCTGCTCATTAAACATTATATTTCAATATTGAAGCGTTATGTCCATCTATACCCATTTTAAATGCATTCATTTAAAAAGTGACGTTATGAAGAGGCTCACAAGTAATCTTTATTGCTTGATAGTTATGATTCCTGAACCTATGTATACCGCAGGTTGCTCTGCAGTAGTGATGATGCCTGAACCTATACCGCAGGTTGCTCTGCAGTAGTGATGATGCCTGAACCTATACCGCAGGTTGCTCTGCAGTAGTGATGATGCCTGAACCTATACCGCAGGTTGCTCTGCAGTAGTGATGATGCCTGAACCTATACCGCAGGTTGCTCTGCAGTAGTGATGATGCCTGAACCTATACCGCAGGTTGCTCTGCAGTAGTGATGATGCCTGAACCTATACCGCAGGTTGCTCTGCAGTAGTGATGATGNTGATGCCTGAACCTATACTGCAGGTGGCTCTGCAGTAGTGATGATGCCTGAACCTATACTGCAGGTGGCTCTGCAGTAGTGATGATGCCTGAACCTATACTGCAGGTGGCTCTGCTGCTAAAATCAACAACGACGTGAGCGTGACGACAGGAGGAGAGATCAGAGACCTGCTCAGCCCTGACAACCTCAGAAGATCGGTCTTCGTGCTGCTCAACGCCATTTATTTCAAGGGCAACTGGCAGACCAAGTTCGACGCAAGAGATACCAAAACGCAGGTCAAACTCAGCGTTTTGCTCCTACCTCGGGGTCTTGGTCTCGTTATTCTACCAGTCAGGGTCTCGTTATTCTACCACTCAGGGTCTCGTTATTCTACCACACAGGGTCTCGTTATTCTACCACTCAGAATATTAGACTTAGTTAGACTATTAATCATCGTTTGAATTAATTGATTAGCTTTTTCCACAGTAGTCACTGCCCTATGGAATTTGAGTCGCGTCTAGATGCCACTATCTTCTAAGTTAAGAAGTTTAATCTTCTGTTCAGTTTCTACTCGTGATCACATCAAGTTAGTTAATTAGAATTAGTGCCACATGATGGATTTGTGGTATCATAAATACATGAAATATTTGCAGGTCTTTTACCGGACAACGGGCGAGCAGGCGACCACGGCCGACATGATGAACCTGCTGGGTAACTTCAACATCGGTGAGTGGTCGTGTTCACAACTGCAGAGGTACCGAAGGTTGGTAAGTCGATGAAAATATCTACGCAATTTTTTCAATTCGTCACCTCACATAATATGAAAAGAATATTTGCCTATGTTGTCTAGCCAGTGAGATGGCGATCGAGATTAAGGTATTATTTTGTGCAGTGAGATCACCGGCTCTAGGTGCTACAGTGTTGCAGCTGCCTTACCACAACAGCAACATGTCCATGCTGATCATGTTGCCAGAGGTTGAGGTGGGTGCCCTCATGTAGCAGATTTGTACTGAGATAAATCGCTTGAAAGACAAAACGCAGGTGGCAATACTCATGTTGGCTTACATTTCTGAGTGTCATTGAACTTTTCATCATCGAAAGACTCATTTAAACTATCACTTTTCCCCCACGACATGAACGTCATTAATACGTGCCTCACCGTGCCTCCGCACTTTTCACCGCCACGCCTGCGTGTCTCACCATGCCTCCTCTCTTTACACCGCCACGCCTGCGTGTCTAACCATACGTCCTCTCTTTGCACCGCCACGCGTGCGTGTCTCACCATGCCTCCTCTCTTTGCACCGCCACGCGTGCGTGTCTCACCATGCCTCCTCTCTTTGCANTTACTGATGCTGCCATCCACAAGGTGTGTTACTGATGCTGCCATCCACAAGGTGTGTTACTGATGCTGCCATCCACAAGGTGTGTTACTGATGCTGCCATCCACAAGGTGTGTTACTGATGCTGCCATCCACAAGGTGTGTTACTGATGCTGCCATCCACAAGGTGTGTTACTGATGCTGCCATCCACAAGGTGTGTTACTGATGCTGCCATCCACAAGGTGTGTCATTGATGCTGCCATCCACAAGGCGTGTTACATATGCTGCCATCCACAAGGTGTGTTACTTATGATGCCATCCACACACCTTGTACCTATGCTGCCATCCACAAGTTATGTACCTGATACTGTATTATAAAGTTTTATATTGGGCAGCCTTAGGCATGTCAAATAATGTTACTTTAATTATCTGGGTTTGAGCAGGCCAAGGTGCGGGTGGACGAGAGCGGCACGGTGGCTGCCGCCGCCACGGCGCTCATGGCCACCAGGAGCGGCGCCAACAGCGCCATCCAGTTCGTGGCCAACCGTCCCTTCCTCTTTCTCATCTACGACAGCCGCGTCAGAGTGACCCTCTTTGCCGGCATCATAAGGAACCCCACCAAATAAACATGCACCATTCAATACAACATTATCATACCAAAGCCGTAAAGGTTCTGACTCCAGAGCGTCTATGTCTCCCAGTACTCTAGCAGCGAAGGAAACGAACTTGGATTTGGGATTGAAATTTGCGAGTTCAGTTCGAACTATTTTGTTTATCAGTACATTCCAATGCACTTCGGTTTGTTTTCTGTGATGTTTTTATACATGACGTTTAGTTGCTTCAAAGGGACAAGTTTTACACGGGCGCCTGTAAGGCAATAGTACCAATTACACGGGCTAGCGTAACAGCCGATATATATCAATGGATAACTTATTTTCCTTCTTGAACTTATTTACTTTCTAAGCTTCCATTTTTATATCTCCCATTCTACCTAATGAAGTACATGGCTTGCGTAGGTCTGTTGAAATCTATTTTGAATTATCTTAAGGAAAGTTTTGTAATCGAGCCGCATTAAACACAAATAAATCTTGCTCACGTGCTTCATTATCAAGGTTGACTTTGATAACTAAGCATTAGGTCGCCGCCCAGTTCTCGAAATTTCCAGAAATGGTCAAGTTTCGAAACTCTTGATGTTCGTAATTGTTTGTTAAGTTCGTGCAAAATTGTCAGTATTAATCCTCAGTGCCATATGTACCGCCACGCCTACTCTGGACATATTCTAATGATCGTATCTGATTAATTGGTATCATTTCCCACAAAATTCAGGCTAATTATACAGACATTTATCAAGTATGTCATCACCTACCGTCCTTTCAGAAAAATATGAAATATTTTTGCCTAATTAACAATGTAGGGTAAACGTATAGGATGAAAACGATTATGATTACAGGTAAATAAAATATTAAAGTACCTGCACCTCAATTTTTAGTGCATTGAGTCGGCCGAAAGCACAGCCTATAGAGTCGGCCGATGGCACAGCCTAGAGTCATAACATAATACTCGTAGCATAACATTGCAGGGTCGGCGCTGAAGAAAGAGGCTCATAACCTGTTGCCGATTCTTGTACTTTTCGTGACCTGTTCACATTAGATCTAACAAGCGGCCTTTGACCAGATCTTTTCGCAACTGACGTTGGTTTGAAATAACTACTGGATGATAACCTGGTCCGATGAGTGCTAGGCAGATCAAGTTTGAACCTATATAGATGCATAACTTTATTTAGTCTGTTTTTGAATACGTTCATAGTCGGAACGTTCCATATTTCGGTGACGCGAAGCAAAAAATCGGCCGATGGCACAGCCTAGAGTCGGCCGATGACACAGCCATGAGTCTGCTGATGACACAGCCAAGAGTCTGCTGATGGCACAGCCTAGAGTCGCCCGATGACACAGCCTAGAGTCGGCCGATGACACAGCCATGAGTCTGCTGATGACACAGCCAAGAGTCTGCTAATGACACAGCCTAGAGTCGGCCAGTGGCACAGCCTATAGTCGCCCGATGACACAGCCTAGAGTCGCCTGATGACACAGCCTAGAATCGGCCGATGACACAACCATGAGTCTGCTGATGACACAGCCAAGAGTCTGCTGATGACACAGCCAAGAGTCTGCTGATGACACAGCCAAGAGTCTGCTGATGACAGCCTAGAGTCGCCCGATGACAGCCTAGAGTCGACCGATGACACAGCCTAGAGTCGACCGATCACAGCCTAGAGTCGGCCGATGGCACAGTCTTGATCCCGACTGTCAGCCGGTGACAAGTCAGCCGGTGACACAGCCTATAGAGTCGGCCGATGACACAGCCTAGAGTCTGCTGATGACACAACCAAGAGTCTGCTGATGACACAGCCTAGAGTCGCCCGATGACACAGCCTAGAGTCGGCCGATGGCACAGCCTAGAGTCGGCCGATGGCACAGCCTAGACTAGAATCAGCCCATGGCACAGCCTATATAGAGTCGGCCGATGGCACAGCAACCTAACCTCAACGAGGATCATCCGCTGGTGTCGGTTTCCCGCGAACACCTGCGCCTCTCGATCAGAGTCATGCCTCGCTGCTATCATCGTATACCTTCTTGCGCAGTATCATTCCCTCTCCATATGCTCCGATGATAGTCATGCCTCGCTGTTATCATCGCATGCCTTCGTGCGTATTATCATTCCCCCCTAAACATGTCCGATGATAGTCATGCCTCGCTGTTATCATCGCATGCCTTCTGGCGTAGTATCATTCCACTCCACATGCTCCGATGATAGTCATGTCTATCTGCTGTCATCATAAGTGTAAAAAGTAATAACATTTACCATTCGGTGTGCGTAGCATCATTCCCTCCAGTTGCTCCGTTGATGAACATATACTACACTGGGCCCTGAGGAATGTTCAAAGATTGTCAGCTGTTAATTTTTCGGCTTCGGGCTTCTTCTTGAGCTATGTAAAGTTATAATTATGTTTCAAATTGTGGCCAGTATTTCTATGTTTTAAGAAGCTGGGAACAAACTTGGAACACTTTACGGCGTAAATTTTCCATTTATATTACCTTGCGAAGAAAATTCGCATCTCAATGCAAAGACGTACAAAAGTTACGTCTTCCGCAGAAATCAACGAGTAAGAGACGTTATTGGTGCTGGCTTGAACCGTTCGCAGACATGAGAGATTAATCGAGTTGAATCTCATTTTAATTTTTTTTTTCAAGTCATAGTTGCGGCGAGGTTAAACCCGGCTTGATTAGTTAATTCTAGTGCTGAATATCAGATGAAAACGAATCAAGGACTTATTTGACGTATCAATACGTGAAAAGGAAAAGGCGATATTGATGAAAACTAAATCATATTTTATCAAACATCAACAATATATATTTCCACCGTATTACCTATGGGAGTTCGACTAAATTATCATTGTAAATCGGACATTATTCAGAAATGACCGATTATCGTAAAATTTGCACCAGCATTCTCCGTAAAATTGTCGCACATTTGCACCAAAACCATACAAGAGTCAGCGGGCGCCTAACGCAACTTTTATTATAATTTATAGGCACCACCACAACAGCAGACAACAGACCGCAGGATGAGAACGTGTACTACCATAAACGCATAGGAAAAGTTCGTGTACAGCTAACAGTACACAGGTTAGTAAGAGTACTGCAAATTGCACGCTCGATAAGTACGTGTTCAGGCAAAAACACGCAGGATTAGTATATGTACATTCAACAGCACGTAGAATAAGTACGAGAACTGCAAAAAGCATACATAGGTACACGTACCATCAACAGCTTGAACGACTGGACATTGGCCAGTTTACAAGCCAGCAGTAGTGTGGCCATGCCACCAGAGTTCAAGAAGTCCCTCCCTGCGTTTACGTAAATATTAGGCACATACTGAGAGTCCCTCAATTTTTTATCAGCACTCTGATGTTATATAATCTATATTGAGCAAAAGTGAGGTAGCCTGACACTTTTTACGACTTGTTTGCTTAGTGGTGAATGAAATAAACATTCAGAGTAGGGAATAAGTGAATGACGCGGGACGGGCAGCGTTGCCAGATGGTATATTTCTATACCAGATTTCACAAATCTGGTATTTTCAGAAGGTGTCTGGTATGAATATTTTAGATCTGGTATATATGCCTTAATCTGGTATTTTTCTGGTATTTTCTGACTTACTGCAAATTTACTGCATTAAGTTCCACCTCTGAAATTTGAACTTAATCCAGCGTTGGCGTGGATTATATTATTATTTATATACTGTAGATTGCCTTCAGAGCGGCGCGATTAGAGCTTTCCCGCCATTTTTGGAACCGCAAGTTTACCGCTTGATGAAATAACCCCGATCTAATTGTTAACATTTAACAAAAGTGCTTAGTGCAATATGAACACGAGAGTGATGATCCTTGATTGATTACTGATCAGTGATGATATGGAACAAGACGAGTGAGGTTGTCGAACCGACCTCTGCGACGCAGGCTCCACCATTTTTGTTTGGTGGTTTTGAATTCTAGAGTGCCACTTATTGGAGTGCCACTTGAATTCGGGGGTGCCATACAATATTTCACTGATCTTGAAAATCATCATCCATTCACAGAACTGGCTGCCTACTGCACCACGTGTCTACTTTGACCAGGTCTCCAATGCATTCGTGGAGTGAATGTTTTCACAAGTCACCTATGTGAAAAACAAGTAACGAAATAAAATTTCATTTTTTCTTTTTCTAACCAACGTTTCTGACGAATAGTTTCATTAAATTTGGAGGTATTAGTCAGTTTTCAAACAATAGAATTTCTGGTATATTTCTGGTATTTTGAGCTAGGCAATCTGGTATTCTCGCAGAGAAAAAACCTGGCAACACTGGGGACGGGAGTCGCGCAGTCGAGCTGAGGACGTTGCGAAGTAGGGACGCGTAGCAAAGAGCTCTACAAAGTCATAAAACCGACTGTATGTGGGTAGTCTGATTGAGAAACTTTGAGTGTACAATAACGTTTCTGTTGTAATTTTGATAACTTGTTTGTTGAAATTATAGAGTGAAATCATTTGTTGGAGCAGGGCATGTTATGTCTGAAAATCTGATACTAATTAATGAACACGAGTGTCACTGACGTGTTTGTGATTATCGCAACGTGATGCTGTAAAATTAAATGTTATTGACACTAGACAATATTTTCAACGTGTCGATGAACACAGTTTCAGAAAATAAAATATAAAACGCTGTATTGAATTCTTAGTTCAATAAACTTGCTATAATTAATAATTACGTTCATTGACGTTAACCTATGCTACCGTTGCCACGCACTATGCATCATAGGTATGATGAAGAATTGCATTTCCAAGTTCCAGCCTTCCTCAAACTCTTGACTTAGATTTCAAGTTTTTTTTCCTTTCAAATAAATTCTTTCTTGGCACTAGCCTTGGACAAGTGTAGGTACTTGTGTAGCATTACTTTAATTAAAATAATTACTATCATCACACTGATTGAATTGTTAACTTTGCATCAATCCATGTTGCGCTGGTATGATACAAAACTTTTCAAACTAATCGAACAACTTGTCCTATTAGAAGTTGCTCGACTTGAAGCATCTTGACAGAGCAGGGACCATACTTTCAAAACTCGCTAAGTGAACGTAAGTACTTACGCTCTATTTTCTTGTCTATGATTGGTGGATTTTGCTTGAAAGGCCGTCAATGATTGGCTGATGAACTTACGATCTCTTAACTTTTTTTGAATGTATAGGCCCAGAGATGTAGAGTGCGACTGGCGGGAGTGCGAGACCTGTTGCACGAGAGCGGAGAGCCTAACTGACAGACTCGAGAGTCGCCGGTTTTAATTCACTGCACCTAACTTACCAATCATAAAACTGGTAGTTTTTTGTGTTCCACTGCTCAAAAGACAATTACACAGCTTTTGAAATTCTATGTGAATCTACCTTTTAAAATTTATATTTGAGGTGCATCATTAACGGTCACAGTTTCAGTACTGTTGTGACTCCTGTCCCTGGCGGTACCTACCCAAAGAGTTAGGCAAACTACTAAATTAGAGCCAAATTAATTATCTCAGCTTTATTACATGCTTTGATGCATGTTTGTCACGAATAAACTTTCGAATTGTCAATGAAGTTGTTTTAATGGAATGTTTTCTCAGGGGATTATAGCAGCGTGATTATTCTCGTACGCTCACCTTGGGGCGAATTTTCATAGCACGTTTTCCACGCACAATTTTGACAAATCGAAACCCTCTTGAATTAATTAACGATGAAGCTATGTGTTCACAATTTGCTCATGCGAGCGTTGTCTGAATTTCTTTCCCATTCGATTTCAATTAAAGCGCAAAACGGTAAGTTTTAGTACGTTTTTTTACGCACAATTCTGACAAATCATAGCCGAAATTGACCTAATTAACAACGAAGCTATTTATTCACAATAGCGCTGTTGGAATTATCCGCACCTTTTTCTCTTAGGATTTGTCTTCAGATAGTTCTTAAATTCTAATATGTGTAGGCGCTTGAATTTTAGGTTTATTTACTAACTTCTTTATTGAAAGATTGCTACTAGTGCTATAAGAGCTGAATTTTTCTTAACATGGAAAATCTTTGCTTATGGATTTCTTATGGAATTACTCTAAAATATTTATTACTAACACGTTCGTTTTGTAACTGGTGCGCAAAACAGTTCAGAATTTATCTGTATGGTAAAACGACTGACGTATGTCTGTACAGCGTTCGTCAAAGATTACACTGAATTGACCAATCACTGGTTGAAGAACTTGCAATAAATAATTATTTTCTGTTCTGCCGAGAACATAGAGCGCACCATGAAGAAAGGTATGCTGGTGCATGAATCAATTAACGCTCCGAGGTATGTGTCACTATTAACTTTGACCAGAGTTCGACACAAGATGCTCATGCCAGGCTAAATATTGGTTGCAATGGACAAGGTCGGGTGGTAAAATCCAGCTCGTCTGGGTTAGGGTGTCGTCTATTTGTGGCCTCACGAGTCACTTTACTTTTGGTGTCGTAAATGAGCAGACAAAGCCAACAAGTTTCCAGGCAACAATCTCACCGACGAACGAAGCAGCTTGGCACCTCAGCCCTTCGTCTCTGTCATTACGTCTAAAAGATGTGTCAGAGGATGCCAATACCATTGATGACGGTTCATGTATCTTTAGACAATGGGTTAACTTTGTCTACTGAAGATAACTGGAGTTAACATGTCACTGAATGAATTACCTTGTGGCAGTCACGATATGTTTGTAGACGAATGGTTAGGTGTGTCTATAAAACTGTAACATCAATACATACGTAAACGCTTTTCTTTCTGACAGAAAATCTATACCTAAAAATACAAGTATTTTGAGCCAAAAGCAAAGAGAACTTTTCCAGTGAATTCTGTACGATATCAAGTCAAAGGAAAGCAGGAACTAAATTATTAGAAATCTGTGATAAATTCCGCGTTAATGCGGTTAAAGTTGCACTACAAAAAATGAAGAAAGCCACATCAGACACATGGTTTTTCTTGGCGGTAAATAAGCTGTCAGGAGGTCGCCAGATGTCAGGTGAAGTTAATTATTAATGTGGACGCTAATAGCGCGGTAAACTCATTGAATTAAAATGAATTTCTTTAGTTATGTGCAGGACGTTATGTTTTTTGGTCAAACTAACTTTGACGGATCGAAGACACATAGCTGCCTCTTCAGGCTAATTGGTGCGTCTAGTGGACGGTCTGAGGTCACTTCAGTCTCATGTCAGAACTGCAATTTAGCGAAGGAAGTTTGGATACAGCCCGCTGTGTTTTTAATGTTAGAATTTATTTCGATTAATTTTCTCCGTCTTGAAACACGCCATATCGAGATCCTAGTTAAAGGTCTGATTATTTGAAATGTAAATAATAGAAGCGCATCAGAGCTGTTACTTCGATTTCTATTAGTATTTAACGATTCAGAATATTATTCTGCATTATTTAGTATTTAGAGCAATACGAAGAATATCTTTGCATTCAATTGTTATATGTCCCCATGTAGGGTCGTTTTCTGTCGTGTTATCTTTACTTTTTATATTCTAGCACTCAAATTGCCGCCCTAATTGATAACCGAGCTCGTTCTGTCGAAGGGACTTCGAGCTGCGGCCTCTTTTCGTCGATTTGAGAGTTCAAAAGCAGTGATGCTACGGTCAAAATATTGCCAGCTATCGTAGGCATTGCTTGCTGAAGCGGGTCGCTTTCTGAAGGCCCATCAAATTGTGGTTGTTGACGCGGACTGGCCGAGCTCGCTTGTCCTCGCATACAATCGGGCTTGTTAGTGATCTATAACCGCCACCTTGTTTCCAGCGACCTCACTGAAAACAAGTGAGGCGATATGAGTGAAGACAAGTGAGGAAAAAATAAAAATAGTGTGTCCCGGCAATTGAACAAAAATATTGTCACGCGGCATGTATTTTAAATGTCTGAACGGCCCGACCTATCGGAATGCAATAGGTTTCATTTCAAAAACATGATTGAAAAAGTACGCTTATTTTTTTCACAACATATGCGTGCAAGCCGAGAAGCTTCTAGGTGTGCACGGTGATAAGCATCATCAGTAATTTAATCACGGGGATTTCCTATTACATTCAATATATGCGAGTCGATTGGCGGGGGTAGTCAAAAGTATTGTTGCGATCAAAGGTGGGTAAAATTAGCTGCTTACCCGGATTTCATTTACTACTTCAAACCCAGTAGTAAATTCCCTGCATATATAAATGACCGAAGGAAATTTTCCTCGAATCAGAACGCATAATTAGTACCGGCCTTTACGATGCAAGATGACGGTCTCTCATCAAGCTTTCATTAATCATTACTGCTATCCGCACTACAGTTCGAGTCGCCCTCTGTTGATTCAGTCGAACGCGTGCAGGCTGCGACCTATGAAGCAAGTCTGCATCTAGGGGCCTATACCGCGACGAGGGGGCATTCGATTTTCCTATCACGGTTGAATTTCAGAGGTAACGGGAATGAATTGACCATACCTCAAAATTATCTAGTTAATCCTCACTCATATAACAAAGAGGAAGCGTACATTAAGTGCGACTAGAAGAGTTTAGATGAGGAACGATTACAGTGCATGCAATTAACGTACACACCAACTGTGTCTGTGGAAGTGTAGATGAGCATTGAGCAGGGAGTAAAGTGCATTTTTAAATTAACACAGCTGTATGCACTAACTGTTACTGTAGATTTGTCTATGAGCAGCGAGTGTAGGCATGCAATGAACACAGCCATACGTACACTAACTGCGACTGTTCTTAAGTGAGTTATTACTAACTTGTTCGTTACATACACTAGATATTCAGTGTACACAAGTTGGCCTCGGTCGTCATGCCAGGCGATCATGAGCACAGAGCTCCGTTATATCGTGGGGACTAGCCGTGTCATATTGCTTTCATTTGGTATTTTGTTTACACAAGGTATTGCAATTATTACAGCAGCGGCTAGTAAATTATATAAATTTCAGCCATCTGACTAAAGATTATCTGAAAGACAAAGAATGATATGATATGAATGAACTTTGATTGAATCTATCAAAGATAGATTCAATGAAATGATAGAGCTGTGTAATTTACTAGAGGCTTTTAAATCATTTAAATGGAATATAGTGGCAGCAGCTGCTGAGCGCTATGCAAACTGCGTGCAAGTAAGCAATTACTCTCAGTATATATTAACAGTAATTCAACGATTACACGGGCAAAACTATGTTTGTTTGGCATTTAATTCTTCAAGATTGTTTGTTGCAACGATGCCCTCCCTCTTAATGTTCGCTATTGAAAAAAAATTTTTTGATAATGATATAATCGGTATTAGCATCGTTTCTCGATGTTACGTTGAAAACTAACCTTAAAGTCAGGTTGTGTCTCTTTGTATCTAAATTTGCCCAATGAAAAATATTTAGGTATGGAGTTTTATTAACTAAAGAGTATTCTTTAATACTCTTAAAAAGAGTATTGATTAATTGCTTCGGCGCCTGGTTAGCCGCAGTATTAATTATATTTCCTTTCAACAGGTTAGCAGTATCGTGGATACTCGACATTCATATATAGCCAAGTCAAATCTTGACGCCTTCGCTTTCCTTGATGCACCAGCTCGGCACAAACTGCTCTCTCCTACAAGACGGTAGATCCTTCTTCAACCTTTCTTCCACTACTCGTCCCGACCTTCAATCCCCAGACCATGACTCGCACTTGCATGCGGTCTACATGGTGGGCTTCCCTACCTTCATCGCCGTGGGTATACTGGCGAACATCATCGACCTCTGGGTGCTGTCACAGCCCTCCATGCAGGGCATTGCCTTCAGGTTAGTTGTTGTTGTTGTAATTGCCCATCCTGGTATTGGCGATTAGGTAAGGGAGGGGGTAATGGGTCAGTTTTTCCTGGCACTTAGTGCCACTGGTAGTTCCACGACCATCACTGGCTCGCTGACCCGCCAGAACCATTTTTTAATTACACCACACCCTGGACAAGCCAGGTACTGTTATCAACCAGGTTATCAACCAGAGTTGGATGAATGGCTGAGTTGACCAATGAGCTGAGCTTCCCGAAAGAACTTGTCCTCAGTGGGACTCGAACCCGGGAGCTGGGTGCGAGAGACAGTCTCTCACAACTGCACCCGCTTCAGGTTAGTCGACGTCATCGATTGTTTGAAGCTTATTAATTAAAAGGCTTTTCAATCAAACGTAATGAAAATTAAGTGTCTCACTTCCAAGTGAGCAACAAAATTTAATTTTTTAAAGAAGTTAGAAGATTAAAATATACTGAATATAAGTAAGTCCCAAGCGTTTGTGGCTCATTCTTCACTGATTTATTTTGTGGCTAGAAAACAATGCTTTGTTGTACGTCTGAAGTGATGGCTGACCATAGTGCTCGCAGCAATATATTTGAACTGAGACTTTTCATTAGGACCAAAAAATTCAAAATAAACACTTTATTAGATTTCATTAATGGTCGATGTCGTGTAGTACGACTGCCTTCGGGAACTTCGAGCACGATTCACATTGTGTAATTTGACACGGGAACGTGAGTCAAGGACCTTCTTCGCATACAAATTTCTGTCATAGGGAGTCGAGGAAACTTAATTCATTGGGTTCGGCTCACATTAGCTGAACCATTTGAGGTTGCCATTTGATCACTTTGCCCCACGTCTGCTTACCCTTCAATTGAACAAATTGTCATTTTTAGCGAATTTTCTCATTTATGGAAAAAAGGCGCTATTGTGCTCGTCATGTCCGTCCGTGACTCATGTCCGTCCGTCCGTGAATTCACTTCACGGACGGACGAGAAATTTATGTGCTCTCTGTCACTCACTGCAGTGAGTACTGATTTATTTTTTTTCAATATTTCTTATGTTCATTTGCAATATCAGTCAATTTTTAAATTTATTAATTACCAAACGAGACTAATTACGAAGCGTATATTTCACCTGTTAGACACATTTATTCAGCTAGAGTGATGTTAAAATATTAATAAAATAACGGCGGTGTGGCCTCAATTACCACAATAACCTGTTTGCTGCTATTAGCTGACGAACTTAACTGGAATTTTTCCTTTGTTGTTGCTGCTGCGTTTTTGACCGATTTGTGACAGCAATCATTTATCATTTCTGCAGGTTTGAAATAAGTTTTGCTGTCCATAATTCCGTTCTTACTGAAGTTTTCCCCTGTATACATTGTGAGATCAAGAAAGTTCAGCTCCTGATTGCTGATTTCTATTGTAAATTTTAGTGACTCGTGTATCTTGTTGATATTCTCCAGAAAGCTTTGGAGATCATTCTCACCTGCTTCGCTCAGGATGAAAATGTCATCTCGTTTGTAAAGGATGGGACACCCAAGAGACATGCAGCTGCCTTACGCCCCGCTTATTGTTTATAGAGAATCCCACGCCAAATGAGGCTCAACGGTTTTGTTATTATGATTATGTTATTTGATTATTATGATTATATTATGTTAACTGGAATTTTTCCCTTGTTGTGGCTGCTGCGTTTTTGGCTGATTTGTGACAGCAATCATTTATCATTATAACCTTTATTTATAATTTTTACAGTTTTCTCCTTAATTTGTAAATAAATGAAGTCAACATGTAATCAAGTCACGATTTCCGTCTACCTCGTTATTCGTGAACGAGTCTCATGAGTTCACTAAATTGCATGAACCTTATTTTTTCACCCTGTAAAAATCGAACGAATATCATGCATTTTTTCGTGTAGCATGGGCTAGTCGTGTTACGCATCGTTCTCCTGCCACTTATTTCTGGCGCTCAAAATTGCGCTCATTTTTCGCGTTTGTTGAGGCGAGCCTCGGCTCCTCTCAGGTGAGCTTTATATCAGCGCGACCTGGGCTCGGGTTACGGTCTTCCAATCACTGCCGCCGGAATACCATTGAGTTATTGTTGAATCGCTAAGATGCAACGATGTCAATAGCTTATACTCAGGCTTGACGCAGGACTAAGATATGCCTGACGTCATATCTCGGTGCAAACGTCGGGAGAACGTGCAACTCTTTTCTGCCTTAAGAGTCTGCGCTAGCACCGCGACCGCCTGCACTGATTCCTAAGCATTTCTTTCTATGATGATCGCGCGTAACTTTTATCTTGTATGCGATTAGCGCATGAAATTTTGATACTAACTAATCTATTTATATTTTGTTGCATTGCAAATTGAAAAATAATGACCACAAAGGAAATCTGAATTGTATTCTATTAAGTTCTGAATTTTGCTAATTTTCTCCAGTATTCCGTATAGGAAATATTTCACTGTCAAAATTTCTTTTTCACATATATTTCGCACTGTAAATTAATATATTACAAACACGGGGTGACAGTTCCTGCGACTAACAGTTTCTTTTAAAGGTCTAGAATCAAGGAATGAGAAGTCTAAAACCCTCGGCTGTCGGCAGAAGGCTGATTTATGAGGTTGTCTGGAGCCAGTGCAAAGAAATGGCCACCTGAAAACTACTCGATTTCTTGCGGATGGTGCTGCGATACAAGTTTGGCATGCCAAGTATCGTCGCTTCTTGACTGACGTATGACGTTATAATGTTAACTTATTATGCCAAGTACTTATATCGTTGCTCCTTGACAGACGGAGAACGTTTCACAGATAACCTAAAATGCCAAGTTTCGTTGCTCATTAACTGACGCTAACGGATATCACTATACTCGTAGATATATCTGCGTCTGAAACAGAGTTCTAAGAGAACTCATTGGCTGATATTATACGGTAAAAGTACGGATATACTCACACGCTACAACTGGAAGGACAAGTTTTATAGTGTACAGCTTGAGTTTTACACATGTAAACCCTAAGTGAAAACTATGGCAGGAACACGAGCGCAAACCAAGTTTGTGAAAAGTCTCCGAGAAAATATACATTCTGGGCAGAAAAACCTGCTGGGGCAAATCCTACGTACACTCAGGAAAATTGATAGGACAGATTGTCTAAATAATGACACACTTTCTGCGTGAAGCACTGACACATCTTTGTTTCTTACCAAACTAGAACAGAATGACAAACACACGGGCGAAAAGTGATCCGTTATTTGTCCAAAATCCCATTTATTTCTCTGAGTGTACCTGTGCCGTGCTGTGCTGTGACGAGAAGAAGAGTGAGGAGGAACGCTGCTGCGTGCCCGCGGTGTGGGGTATTCTGTTGATACCTTCTAGTGTAACACGCGTTACATGACACGTATCTCGTCACGAGCGACACATGACACGTATCTCGTCACGAGCGACACATGACACGTATCTCGTCACGAGCGTCACATGACACGTATCTCGTCACGAGCGTCACATGACACGTATCTCATAATGAGCGTCACATGACAGGTATCTCGTCACACGTCAGGTATCTCGTAACGAGCGTCAAATGGCACGTATCTCGTCACATGACACTTATCTCGTAACGAGCGTCAAAGACACGTATCTCGTCACGAGCATCACAAAATAAACTTCACATAACACGAGTCGGAGATGTCAACGTAAACACAAGTCGTATAGTCAGCGTCACGTAACGAGCCTAACATCACACGCATCAAACAAGTCACGCACTAGTATATAACACATGTCTCATACTGGTATATAACACAAGTCATGCACTAGTATATAACACAAGTCTCATACTAGTATATAACATAAGTCTCATACTAGTATGTAACATAAGTCTCATACTAGTATATAACACAAGTCACGTACTAGTATATGTATAACACAAGTCACACACTAAGTATATAACACAAGTCACATACTAGCAAATACACAAGTCTCATACTAGTAAATAGCACAAGCCTTATAAACCTAGTCACGTAACAAAATTCACAAAACACATAGTATAAGTCAACTCGTATGGCACGAGTCACGTAATACCAGTCACAATCACAACTCATATGATGGTGTTGCGTGATACCAGTCATAGTACGTAATACCAGTTACAATCACAACTCATGTGATGGCGTTTCGTAACACCAGTCATAGTCACGTAACAACAGTCACAAAACGCAATTCATTTGACATAAGTCACGTAACATCAGTCACACTACCCAAGTCGCATTACACAAAAAACAATACAAGTACATCATTTCGTACAATAGACGAATGCAAGGACATGGCAGTTGCTGGGAAGGTATCGCGGCCGACTTGGAGCTCTTTATTTAACTTCTATGTTTTCTCGCGCGAAACAAAGAGTCGACGAAGACTTTCATCTGTAGTCGGCGATTCGAACTCAATAAACAAGAGGAAATTCTACCCTCAATCCTGTGTTTATTTATTGTTATTGAGTTGTAAATTAATACATCAACAGATCGCACAATGTTTTGATCATGATTGAATGACGGAAGACCGGCAGTGTGGTCTATTAAGGGGACATTAAACCTTTTGTTGGGGAAGGATCAAAGTGATGACTTAATGAATATAACCCCGAACCTATTTATAATAACAATGAGACGATGAAATTTTCGTCAGAAAAATTGTTATCATACTCTGTTGTAGGAAAATTATTCCTACTACTATGTACCACTTGTTATCATACTACTATGACGATAAAATAATTAAGCGTCAAGCATTTCCAGAAAACATTTGACTACCTTAACCTAAGCCATGATTGACGTCTCCACATTCTGTTATACAAGCTACTTTGCTTGAAGTTGTCAATCTAGGATCGTACTATAATTGTAACTCGCTTAATTAAGTATCCGTAGCGGCCTATCTCTTGTCTGTAATTGGTGGGACTATTTTTAATCGAATGTTCATTGAACTAACTAGGTTTTTGATTGCAGGTACTTGGCGCGACTTGCTGCCTCTGACTTACTCTACCTGCTGTTCAACATTCCCTTCTGTCTGGAGGAATTCGCCCTAACCTCAGACGGCTTGCCAGTGACCGAGTCTGCCGCCATCTACTACGCCTACATCGCGGTGCCAGTGGTGAATTTCTTCCTCACGCTCAGTGTTTACATTGTAGTGTGGCTCTCATACGACCGCTGGCTCGCCGTCTGCTATCCGCACAAATTCTCAAGTCAACAAACCCTCGTTGTCGTCTACAGACGATGTATAGCAACGTTCCTGGTGACTTTCGCCATATACGTTCCGTGTCCGCTCAGGCAAACGTACTCATGTTATGCGTCGTCTGGTGACATACCAGCTTGTTGTATATACGAGAGCGAGTACATGAATCAGAAATGGTATTATTTTTACGAGTTTGGCAGGGAAGTTTACTCACGCTTTCTCCCTGGGATATTAATAACAGCTTTTAATATGGCAATAATTTGGACTTTGCGACTGGCAAAACGAAATAAAAATTGTCGTCCCACTTCGCAAGTTGTGCAAGACTTTCAACGACGCAGGCCAATTGAAGCCATTTTTGGCAGAAGCAAGAGGCAGGATGATTCGGGCCAAACGGCAATTTGCATTGGATTGCATCACCTTAGTTTGAGCTGTTGCGACAACGCCGCGTCCAGTCCCGTGCTGCTGGCCAAACTTGAGCAGGAGTCGGTGCAGTGGAAAAGAGCGAGTGATACAGGAAAACAAGAAAAGGAAGTAAATAATATAGAAGACGAGAAAAGGGCAGCAATCGATGTAGATGGTCAAGAAAAGGAAGCCACTAGTGTAGATAGCCAAGAAAGAGATGTAGGTATAACTCACAGCTCTCAAAGTTCGTTCGGAAAGTTTTCGGAACATCATCGCCAGGATAGAATCGTGCGTCATTGTAGCGTGATCCCGATCCGCCCTCTGCGAACAAGTCTTCATTCTAACCAGAGCAAGACTTCCAAGAAACAGAGAGGAAGCTACATAATTGTTAACGAGAACCGTAACGATCGAGAGGTTTGTTTGGTGTTCCTCCTGCTTGCTATCACGGTTTTCTTCTACATCTCCTCCTTCCCCAGCGCATTGTACAAAATAATTCCCCTGAACGACGATAAGCAGCATAAGCAGCCTGTGAACACATTTCGAGCGGTCGCCGATGTGCTCGAAGTCTCTGGTCACGTTTTCAATTTTTTTCTCTACTTCCTCCTGAGTCCAGAATTCCGTAAAACTCTATTGCTCCTCATTCCTAGATTAAGCTGCCAAGATGCGTGAACTCAAAAATTCTAATGACATCCTTAATCAAATTTCGTCAATTCAGTTTATTTTTGTAAAATTACTAAAGTATCAAGTACTAATGCCATCAAATTTGTTCCACTAAATAGAAACCCCGTTTATATAGCTTTAATGCCCCTTACTTTAGTTCGTGAAACTGTATACATATTAGATTGTATCATGAAAGTTAAAAAAATGAATTTAAGATTTAAGTTGCTATTATATGTCTTGCCAATGCGTGGACAATCATAAGTATTCTTGTGGGTAACTTGTACAACACGGATTTACATCAAGACCTATTGGTATAGTTTTCTTGCAGTTCATCCAGCCAGCAATTCTCCTCCTCAGTGGTCATTCAACTCCATTATTCTGCTAATTTATTTATTTTTTTTTAAATAAATATATACACTCAAATAAAGCGGTAAATATGAATAATATTTTTATTCTAGATGTATAGGATGCGTGAAACGTGCTTATAATTAAGTCGCATTGTAAACCAGCCTTGTGCAAGCTTCTTAATGTTAGTCTGCTTTCTGCCAAGACGCGCAGTGCGGAAAGCGTGTTCATGTACAATACGAAGGTTGCGTTATTTGTGGCATATATTGGATCCGTAAAGGATAAGATAAAAATTCAAGTTGAATACCGTTGGTTTCGCTAGATCAATATCCAAAAAAATATAACTCAGTACTCACTGCAGTGAGTGACAGAGAGCGCATTTTCTCGTCGACGAAAACGTGAAGTCACGGACGGACAGACAGACGGACATGGCGAGCACAAATAGTGCATTTTTTCCATAAATGAGAAAATGCGCTAAAAGTAAAATTATTCTTTAATACGAGAAACTTCTCTCAAGTATTGCAAAAGTCTATGTAAATAGAGGGAGTTGAAATCGCCCGCAGAAAATATTAAGTATTTCTAAAGAACAGTCGGACATTTAACATTTATTGAAGCACACATATATTGCTGAACTTTTGATATGGATGCCACAATCTTCTTACGTTATGCTCCTTGAAATTAAATATTTATTCGTAAAAACGATAAATGTTGGCACCCATACTGGGGCATCTGAGAGATATGACGGCATCGGTAATCTATTTGAATGTGTATGGCGGGCAGAAAATGAATATCAGTCGAATACTCGAACTCAACCTGTTTTTGCAGTTGCATTTGTAGGTCTAATATAATCTCAGGCATTTAGTATGCACCGATCAATAATATATGTCAGAGTTAAATGTTAAACTGTAGTTGCGCATTCATTGCTGAGCAGTAAAACTCTGGGACAGGTATTACAATGTAATCGTGCTTTAAGAGCTTTACATGTATTAAAATAAATGACAATCAGGATCCTCGTACCCACAGTCCCTGGCAGAAGTTTTGTTGCTGATCCATGCTTTCCAAACACAAGCTTATAATTACTTTAAATTCAATCGTTAGTTTTAAAGATGACTCGTATAAAAGCTAATCTCTCTTAAAAATGGTTTCATTATTTAGAACATATTGCCTTTCTGAGAAATATCGATCTTATAATCAACTCAAAAAGGTCATATTCTGACAAAATAAATTTGTCACCTGGTATGCACGCATGATGTACCCAATCCTAGAATATAACCTCACTTGTGTTAACTTATTGATTAGTGATTGTGTATAAAAAGGACTCCTGACCTACTTTTGAATTACAACTGGAGATCTAAGACAACGTTGGCATTAATCTTGGCAAGCAATTGACACTGCAAGCTTCATAAAGCTCTTCTACACGGGGACAGTAGTGGCAGCCACTATAACTGGCCAGTAAAAGCTTCCACTAATTAATTATCAGTCTATTGGTCTCCTGTAGAGGAGAGGAGTACTAGCCAGATAAGGGCCTGAAAGGAGTGGTTGCCACTAAACTCAATCGTGTTTGGGACCTGGCCAGTAGTGTGGGGACTTGACCAACTGTGGGGACTTGACCAACTGTGGGGACTTGACCAACTATGGCTCAATCGTGTTTGGGGACTTGACCAACTGTGGGGACTTGACCAACTATGGCTCAATCATGTTTGGGGACTTGACCACCTGTGGGGACTTGACCAACTATGGCTCAATCCTGTTTGGGGACTTGACCACCTGTGGGGACTTGACCAACTATGGCTCAATCCTTTTTGGGGACTTGACCAACTATGGCTCAATCCTGTTTGGGGACTTGACCAACTATAACCTCCGCCTGATGCTAAGACTAAGGGCGAGGACAGCTAAGATTCATACCGGGTACTTGTTCCCACATCTGAAAATTTTAATACCCGACACAACCTGATCAATAGTTTCTTCGCTTAATAATTCTTCAGCATAACATTCAGCTTGAACTGGCAGGAAATTAAATTTGTATTTGTTTTAAAATATATTTAAGCATGTTGAGGTAATATAAAAACACGAATAATAAGCTAATTTTACCTCATCATAATTTTTATTGACTGACGAATATACTATTAAATTTATTGATTCATTTTAATTGTTCGATTACGCGCTTACTCCACGTCAGTGACTATATTACTTCTAACTTACATTGCCAACTATGTAGTCTTATTATAATATCATCTGGCCTAGTCTTATTATAATAAGAATAGTTTTTGAGTATTGTTATAACCCACTGACTAAATTATTATCTTAAGAAAAAAAACATGAAATTATAGTGGCTATCATGCAAAAAAATAACGGCAGAGACTGGCGGCTGTCGCGTAACGGACCTTTCTGCTGAATCTAATGAAGCGATAGTAGCGACAGCTGAGAAAATACTAGACGCCATTATTGGCCTCAAGTGTTAGCTTACTGGTCGGTCAAACTTGTGGCGGCCAGTTGTGACGGTAAGAATTGGTCACTAAAACGTGATTCATGCACACGCACCTACAGCCAACGAATTTAGAAAAAAACGCACTATAAATAGCAGAGCGTCCATCATTACTTAAAATGCCAACATACTTGCGATCTCCTTGTGAATATTTGGACCGATTTTTAGCTCAATAATAATATATGAATCATATTTATTCATATTATATGAATAATATGAATCAATAACAATACCCACCACGCAACGACGATGCGCTAATTTATGATGCCATCACTCATTGTAGCTTGACGGGCAAATCCCATTTCTTATTTGCATATTATCATTCAAAACTTTGTGAAATGATTTAGGAAATGGAATGCACATGAATTATTACATAATGAAGTGAATTACTTTTCCGAAAAAAATTATTAGGAATGATTTAAAAAAGTATAAAATCACTAAAAAGTGTAAATTATTCTGCTAAAACTACCGGAATAAGTCTGATTTGAAGCTCCATTAATTCAGATTTGCTTTTAGGATAGGAATGAGATTGCGAACAATAACATGACTTTGCCTGGTCAATGATATTATCCATCACATTTCCCCACAATACGCGTATGGATATTTCCCCGCATTAATAACTCTACGGGCACTTCACCACGGAAATCCTCCGAGCAAGTCATCACAACAATTCTACGTTCATTTTACCACAATTATCCTACGGTAATTTCACTACAACAATCGTACGCGCACTTCCGCATAATGATCCTTCGAGCACTTCACCACAAAAATCCTATGGGCAATCCACCGCAATAATCCTACGGGCACTTCATCACAATAATCCTACAGGTACTTCATCACAATTATCCTACAGGCATTTCAACAAATTAATCCTACGAGCACTTCACCGCGCGAAAATCCTACAGGCAGTTCACCACAATAATCCTACCTGCACTTCACCCCACTAATCCTACGGGTGCTTCCCCACCATAATCCTACGGGCACTCCACAACTATAAGTCCCCGGACATTGCCTTACAATCCGGGAACTAAAATTTTCTCACATTGACTGTGCTAGATTTTTGCATATAATAATTTCAATTAGTCTATGATGATTTAGAAACAATTAGTCTAGCGACATTTTCCCAACAAAAACAAAGGCCTGATCGAAATGTCATTAAAAAATCTACGGGTATTATACTTAAGGTTTAACTATCTTCTTACTGGATATTCAATTGTTTCTCAATCTGCTATACGTTCGCTTTTGTTTCGTACAAGGCCCTCACCTTCTCTGTGAGGAAGCAGAGCTTTGCTTGTTGGGGAGGCCACGGTTTATTTAGTTACGACTAAATAACACGTGAAGAGTTCCAAGTTGAAGTTCCAATTAGTTGAAAAATTCCAAGCAAGCAGCAATGGATTACCGCATAAGCTTTGCCCCTATTATATTAATTTAATCAGCACTAATTTACATACCAATTTCAAATTTTTGTCTTACCTTTTCCTCTAACTTTTGTATGCATTTACATTTCATTAACAATAATAGAAGTTCAGGTTCTGATAGTATCCCGAAACAATAAAGATCGGGGATACTCATCCAAACAACTGATATACATTTATGACTTAAGACATCTGGCTTCAATCTCACCACTAACCTGAAAAAATCATTTAAAATTATCAATACGATATTTGCAGTGGCAAGAAGCAATTATTATTATATGGCGACTGATAAATCGCTCATGGCGAATCAACAGGGTGGTTAATGGTGATTCGCAGGGAGTCATGTTACTCCGGTGTCCACGATTTGATTCATGTGGCGACTCAGTAAAGTGATTCAAATGGTAACTAATATGCAGTGATACTCCAGCACCGCCAACTGAAGTGACCGACATCCGAAACTTATCGCAAACAAATAATCTTTCATCAAATAAAAGCAGGTGAGCGAGATAGAGCGGTGTGTGTTCATTTTAGTCGACTTGGATCGAATTTCCGTCGACTTCTGAGTCATGATTTTGCTTCATTTTGCCTTTACAACAGGCTATGTCGAGTTCTAATGCCGTTGACTTCCGGAGCTCTGTTGTGCACGAACTTTTGGTTAAATTTAGACCATAACCTGTTTCGGAGATAAATAACCAACTTAAAAAATTATACGTAAAGCAATATCGAGAAATTTACAAAAGGAATAAGTGAGAAACGTTCAATCACTTCTAATTCTTAAATGACAATTACATGGACGTGATTGTAATTGTAACCCATTTTTAACTATCACTAAACATCGTAACGGTAATGTAACGTGCTAATCGTATACCTACTGCTATGATACTTATGCTATGTAATCTTACTAATGCTATGACGGACATAAATATCACATTTTCTGAAACTTTCGGTATACAGTGGCAAGTGAAAAGCCTCATTTCAAACATAATGTTTATTTTCAGGATAATGCGATATCGTAATTGTTGGGACATTTCTTAATGCTCTTTGGCGATTTTGTATGGAGAACAATGAAACAAATAACAACGCTAGCTGTTATATATACTTCTGTTCCGGCACCTATTAACAGCCTCCCTGATAGCATCGTTGACGCTCCGAGTATGAACGCCTTCAAGAACAGACTAGACGAAGCTATGCAGGAGCATACAGTGGGGAGAAATAAATATTCGTACACTTGAAAAATCGTATTTTAATGTATGTGAGTACACAAACTTAACAGGAAAAGTGATTTAAATTATGTATAGAGACGCATAGTATTCAAAAATACTATCAAAATCATCTGCAAATCATTGGTCGAGACGTATAGAAATAGACTGGTGTCTGTTGAGCTGAATAAAGGGTATTCAACCAAGTATTAAATTAAAATAATGCGGATTTATTGTTTGTACGAATACTTTTTTCACCCTGAAAAGTGAACATGTTG